AAAGATCTTTGTAAACTGAGTTTAAAAGGCACAGTCATGCAGAGGCAAGATGACAAAAGACAATGACATAAGATCTTGTTTCAAGAATCATGTTTTTCTTTTCCTTTAGATGTAATCTGTTAATGTCTATTTTTGACAAATGCTGGAGGAGTTTCACTCATGAGTGCTAATTTCTACCTTGGAGCTTGGAGCTGATTAATAAATTACAAGGACTCATAATCCTGTGGCAAACTGCCAGGTGCTATGCTCATAGTAGAGCATAATGTGATGGTAGAAATCTTATTTTGCTCCTGCCAAAAATGATTAGCAGCTCCAAATTGTCCAGCACAGCTAAAGTCCTGTGTAATCAGCAGCTATATCTATTGATTACAACATCTCTGTAAGTTCGCTTTTGGTCAGGAGGAATCCACCATCACAGGAACTACTGATAATTTTCTGCCATGATCGGAACTCTTTCTCAAAGACTGACCAGCATCAATAACATCAAACTATTTGCGGATCAGAATTTTGTAAGTTAAATTACATTTCACATACTCTAGATGAGTATTCCATTGTGGATTTCAGTGAAACTAAGCCTTTGCCATTGCATCCGCATAGCTGTTCCTTAAGAAGAGTAGACAGCATCATTTCATATTTCCTTGCCCCCTAAGCACTGAATATATTCTTAATCTGTTTGTCATGAAAGAAGTATCACAGAATCACAGTGTCACAGAATGACTGGGGTTGGAACAGACCTCTGGAGATCACCTAGTCCAGTACCCCTGCCAAACCAAATTCACCTACAACAGGTTGCAGAGGATTGCGCCCAGGTGGGTTTTGAGTATCTCCAGAGAAGGAGACTCCACAGCCTCTCTGGGCAGCCTGTTCCAGTGCTCTGTCACCCTCAAAGTATAGAAGTTCTTCTTCATATTCAGGTGGAACTTCCTGTATTTCAGTTTGTGCCTGTTGTGCCTTGACCTGTCACTGTGCACCACTGAAAAGAGTCTGACCCCATTCTCTTGACATTCGCCCTTAAGGTATTTATAAGCATTGATAAGGTCCCCTCTCAGTCTTCTCTTCTGCAGGCTGAACAGACCCAGCTCTCTCAGCCTTTCCTTGTAAGGGAGATGCTCCAGTCCCCTCATCATCTTCATGGCTCTCCCCTGGACTCTCTTCAGTAGTTTCTTGTCTTTCTTGAACTGGGGAGCCCAGAACTGGATGCAGGACTCCAGCTGTGGCCTCACCAGGGCAGAGTGGAGGGGGAGGATAACCTCCCTCGACCTGCTGCCCACACTCTTCCTAATGCGCCCCAAGACAACATTGGCCCTCTTGGCCACGAGCCGGGCATATTGCTGGCTCATGTTGTTGTTCCCCAGGACTCCCGATCCTTCTCCACTCAGCTGCTTTCCAGCAGGTCAACCCCCAACCTGTACTGGTGGATGGGGTTATTCCTCCCAAGGTGCAGGACCCTACATTTGCCTTTGTTGTAATGTATTTCTCATTTATTTAATTATATTTTACCAGTATAGAAAGCAAGCAAACTGGAGTTGTCTGTGTTAATCTGCTTGCTGGCTATCCAACCGTCATGAGAATCTGGCTGTTTTCATTTCTTGTCTTAAATGAGCAAGTTCATTTTCATTTCCAGGACTGTGCAGTTCTGCACTTTCATTTTCTTTGCAATCTCAAATTTACTCTTTAAAAAAAAATTCTAGGCTCTTGCAAAACAAGAAAAAATTGATTATGAAGAACAATTTATCAAAGAAAGAGAACGTCATGAGAAAATTGCCGTTGAAAGAGCTCAGGCACGTTACAAAAAGCATTATTCTATATGTTGGGAAGTGATCCAGCAAATCATTGATATGTCAACAAAAGTAGGAGAGTATCGTCTGCTGACAAACAAGTGAGTATGATAGCCATTAGGCAAAAATAACAGCTGTTAGATAGCTGTTAGACTTCATTATTCAGACTGGTTTAAGCACGGTAACGTCTTATGTAGATTCTCAGATATCTCATAGGACGGCTCTGATTAGTTTGTGTGGGGAAAATGATGATGCTTTCATGTGAGGATTCACTGATGTCTAATACAGGGTGAACTAATGCTAGAGCTTTAGCGTAATTTCTTGAAAACTCAACTAACTTGAATCTTTAGGAGACCAAGATCCACTAGTTCTACAGCTTGTGGGACTTTTTTATTAATAAATTCCTTAGTTTAAAAGTGAAAAACTGAGTGGTGCTCATCTCATTCCAGATTGCTGCACTAGCTAAACACTTCGTCAGTGTAATATAAACAGGATGAAATTCCTAAGATATATCAACCTGCTTAGACTGTCCTAAGAGTAGAAGCTCAGTCCAAAATCTTCCAAGTCCTACATGCTGCGATTCCCTCTACTGACATGCCCTAATTGCACAGAGTTTCTGAGGTGGTCCTAAAAAGGCAGTAACCTCGAAGTGTCTTTGCTGTAGGAGTGTTTCCAAAACCACAGAATGGGGTGTTGTTGCTATTGTTCTTTCATTAGTATTCAGCAATTAGTCTATAGGGTAAGCATTAGAAAGTATGCTAAAAATATTCATTGCCTTTTAGTGGAACAGTATGTTACGATAATAAAGCTGTAACCATATGAAATACATATGATTATATTTAATGGAAATTATCGAAATTTAGGCCCAGTAAGTACGTGATAAAATAGTCAGCCTAGACACAATTTAGTGACGTTTTGATGATTTCTTTGTCTGACAGTCATGGTTCCAGTGTAAGCTGGTGTCACATTTGCTTGTACTAAGTGGTGCACAATATGTATGATATTTGAAATATATTTCCAAAGTATGCATATCAAATTTGTATCAGCATTTAATGCCATGACAGGTATGCTTTGTCTGTCCTTCCATGCACTTCATTGTGTAGGCTACATACAATGTCTTCAATTGTTTTTAAAGAGCATGTGCAGAGTTTATTTACAGCTATAACAGTCAGCTGTCTACAATCATTACTAAAAAAAAGAAAGTCCAAATCGATGTAATCTTAAGAAATAAAAGAAACATTAATTTTGACCTTTTGTTAAATTTAAGCTGTTATTTATATTGTTTATTTAGCAGCCATAGAATTCTAATGTGACATATGTCAGCATCCTGTTTGCATTTAGCTTGCTACTGTATGCAGTTTGTCTTGTTGTTTCATATGAATAGTTTTTCTTTCTAAAAGAAAAAAAAATTGTTTTAACTACTCAATTCTAAATTAATTTTAGCTTCTAGAAAAAAATTCTGTAGACTTTTGGTGAGAGAAGGCTTTACCCCATGGAAGGTAAGAATAATTTGGAGCAGAGAAAAATAGCTATAGCAAAGTTGTTACTATACAGCTCTGCCAGCCAAATACTGTGTAACGACACATTTGTGAAGATACTGAAGCCTACAAGTGCCTGCGGCTGTCATATAAGTAACCAAACACTTATAAAAAGCTGTTATAATTATAGATATTATATGCTTGTTTCATGTTTGTGATTCATGTGAATTTGGCTCCACTATTCTCGGATATCTAACTCCATTAATTTTTGTTTTGGAACTCATTCCTTTTTTTTTTTTTTTCCTTCTGCAGCAGAATTCCATTAAAACTGATGTTTGATTGGAAGGAATGTTTTTTTAATGGAAAACCAATTTATGAACAAACCTCAATTCAACCTTTGCCAAACGAACCCAGCCCAGAACGACTTGTAGAGTTGAATAAAATGAATCTGTTAGATGAGAAAGATTATGGTGAATACAAGGTAGATCAAACTGAAAAGACATGATAGAAGATAATACACCTTGAGTTTTTATAATCATAAACATTTTGCTGTGAAGTTTCATTTTGTTCTTTTACTAGTTTTTCATATCAGATTTTGACATGCTTTTTCTTTTTTTTCATTGCTTGAGGTTCTATATGAAATATATGGCTATATTTTAAGCTAGCAGCATTGGAGAACTGTTGCAATTTTAAAACACTGTTACAATGTCATTCTTGTATATAACACTGATTGTATTTCTCTCTTCAGTTTGTAGGACCAACAAGTTAATTGCAATGCAATTAATTTGTAGCTAATTGGAATTTGAAAGTGTGGTTAATGCTACCACATTTGAAAATGCAACAGAAAGTAGCCAGCAAAAACAAAAGTAAATGAAATACTGTATCTGTACAGTATTACATATTACATACATATTACAGTATATCTGCTGTCTTAATTTCAGCAATTTTGAGTGAAAACTTTCTAATAAGATTTATTAGTCTGAGTGATCCATGTATTTTAAGATGGTAACATTTGTGAAAATTATTAAAAAGAACTGACATTTTTCTTAACCTTCTGTTAGAATACAAGTAACTATTTTTCAGGGTGCCTTAAAGCTTTTCTTCAACTTTACAATATATTAATGTAATTTCACAAGTGGAGGATGAACGATCAATGTTTCCCTGTTACAACACATTGTACAATTTTTTCCAAATTACATTAATGAATCTTTTCTTTGGAAAAAAAATCCCGCTACATGTTTAGTCTTTTCAAATAATCTCTTTATCTAGAATATGGCAAAATCACAGCAGATATAATGTCCCATCAAGTCAAATACAAGTTAACTACAATATATATGTGCTCTTATCCACATCCTGAACTAAGTGTTACATTTTCTTTTGCAATGAGTATAAATGATACAAGTTTCTGTGATGAATGCCTGGCACCTCAAGTTACTTTGATTTCAATCTTAACATACATTTTTCTGATTTATCTGTTTATAAGATCCTTGTTCAGACAATATCAACTCATGTAATGAGTTTCATGATCACTTTCTTTGGGTGAAAAAAGGCATATATACAAGACCAACAGGGGAAACATTCAGGACAGAAAGGCAGGAAACAGTTATTGGGAAGCATTAGTGAAAAATTAAGTTTTTCAGTCATATTGTTGTTTATATTACAAAGTCTCAGTAGTCTTCTGTACATGTAAGGACACTGAAGGTCACAAACATATAATGTTACATTTAAAGCCTCTTTTTTGCTATTAGTCTGTTTCAAATACACATTGACATAATTAAATTTTTCCCAGAGGTTGTTAGTCTTATGCCTTTCTGAATCAGTATTTGTCAAAAGCTGGTATCATATGACATGAAAAATTGTTGGCACCAATTCATACTTATGTATTCTAAAACCAAAGTGAACAGCTAACACTTTCAAAGAATTACTTCTAAATCAAATTGTATTGGCAGGGAATTCTGGCAAAGTTTATACTGATTTTCTTAACCCTTGAGAAAAAAGCACAGCACAGGCAATTTGGCACCTCTCAAGAATACTATGTTTACATTAGGAATACTGACTAGAAGTGTCAAATATATTTGATAAAGTACAAGAACAAAATACAGTACTGTCAGTCTGTTGCATATTCCACATTAGATGGGATTTGAAAATATTTGGAAACTACCACATCATCAGTTGTGGCTAATCACTTAATGGAATCACCAAAACCAAGCATAACAGTAGGCACTGCTCAAAATATCAAAGAATTTCCATTTTTGATTGAGAGTGTTGACCAGGAGTTATATAACTCTCACCTGAACACCTGAAAATTTGTGTCTGACAGGTAAGTTACTTTAGCTCAGGACAAGTACAGTCTAGCGATCTTCTGGTTAAAAGGGCAAGAAATCTGAAAGATGAGTACTTTGCATGGGGAGCCCATTCCATTTGGAATTCATTTTTCCTACAGGTCTGATCGAACTTAAAACAACTGATCTATCTCTACTTATATGTTTAAGTATAAGATTTGGATTTGGGTTTTTTATGCATCACTTTTCAATTAGTTATTATGAAGTATGTTTTCTGAGATATATTAGAAAGAGGATATTGTGCAACTCAAAAAGATTTTTTTGGGGGTTGTCTTTACTGATTAAAAATAGATGACATTTTCTTTTGAAGTGATAATAAATTACGTTGTGTTATTCTATCTAATGCATGTATGTTCAAAGTCAACACTGATCAAGTTCTGTTAGTAGAGTATATGCTGTGGCAATATACCATTCATGACCGTAAGTTCAGGAACAGGTTGCATATTCTACCTGGAACATGAATTCAAAACATTGTCTTTCTGTAGAACTTTGAAACTGGTTGCTTCTGTTGATTATTATTAAATATTTAATTTGTAGAATGATACACTTTTTTAGGTTGAAAGGGATGTGGAGGTCGTTAGGTCAACTGCTTTGCTCAAAGCAGGGCCAGCTTCTGAGTCAGAGAAGGTTGCTCAGCACCTTGTCTGATAAGTTTTCAAGTATTTCGAAGGATAGAGATTCCACACAATCTGTGAAACCTGTTCCTGTGCTTAACCGCTCTCATTGGGAATATATTTTTTCTTCTTTTTTTTTTCCTAGTTGGAATTTCTCTTGCTGAAACATTTGACTTTGCGTCTCAACCCTTTTTTGCGCACCCAAAATGTGGTGACAAGTTTGAATCTAATTGGGAAAATTATTAGTCCACGTATCTTCCAAACAACTGTTTAGTATCCTGCAACCAAATAATAATTAATACAGGACTAGTATTGTCCTGTGTACTAACATGTTCTCTTTTAATTTCTCATAGCATAAACTGCACATCAGGACTTTCCCAGTGTTATAAGATCCAATAGTGGTAGAGTATGTAATAGAGGGATAAAAGCACAATTCTGTGTTCAATTGTTTTGACTAAATCCTTCCTTTCTCATCTTTCTTCCAATGTGATTGTCAGTAACAGTATCCTTATGAGCAAAACCTCGTTAACCTGTATGCTGGTAACTCGTACTATTGATAAATTTATATTGGTCTCAGAGTAGATAAACTGGAAGTTTCTACTCAGTATTTCCTTCCCTTAAAACTGTTAGAATTATATAGTGGATTGTTTGGTTTGGGTTGTTGGGTTTTGTTGGGTTTTTTTCCTCTCTCTATTGAATGTATGTTAGACAAATATATATTTGAAATCTTTGTCCATGAATTTTTTCAAAGATTTGTGTCTTATACTGGGCAATGACATTGCCCAGTTTTTAGAAAGCTGAATGTTAGGATACGGGGCTTCTATTTCAAAAATCTGTTACAGATTCATCCTGTGGTATAGGTGAAATGATTTTTCATGTTTATGGAATAAAAAAAAATGATTCTAGGAATCTATGAAAATGGTTGTAGGGTGCTTGTCTCTCTCAACTAGGTAGTAGTGAATATCAAAAATGTTTAGTGATTACGGTATAATTATAGGTTTTAGCAAGGGTCTATTCTAAAAAATATTTTATTTTTTAATACTATTCAGATTTGGTTATTATATATATTGTGTTTGTATATAAATACATATATCTGGAAAGATAAAAGACAAGGAATATTGACAAATTATTTGGTAATTTTTCATTTATACAGAGTATGACAGGGCAATGGTGCCCAACTGAAGACAACAGTGAAAACAAACCTCCTCTTAATAATAACATACTGGGTCATGTACTTCATAGACTGATGGAGATTTTCTATCCTCCACAACCCAAACCCGCACCACCTGTATTTCCTCCATTTCCTATCAAGGGCTGTATTTTGGGAAAACTTTTTAGTGGAAAAACTACCTGTGCAAAGTTTATTGAAAAAGGTAGAGTTGAGTTTTTGTGCTTTTTTTTTTTCCCCTAAAATTCTTTAAAATGTTTATTTGCATTAAAATCCCAGTCTTACAATGAAAATCTTTTGGGCAAATCCTTGCATCATTAATCCTTGAACCTCAGATGCATCTGTATTTTGCAGGGGTTAATTGCAAGTCATTCATTCATTAGCTTCCAAAATAAGATTAAAAACACCTGAATTTGAATGTAACGTTAATATAGTATTACTCCTGCATTGAGAATTTGAAAATACTTTGAGCAAACTTCTTTGGGGTTGTCTGTTATAGAAGAGACTAGCAAGATAGCTATGTGGTTGTGGATGTGCACTGTGCAGTGGTTACAGAGAAGAGACAGTGGAAAAAACTTACATCAAAAGCCCAAACAAAATCATTAATTTAATTGCCAGTAATAGTGGCTCTGTATGTAGGCTCAACTCAAACTGTAAAGTTGTCTAATTTTTTTGTGTATTAGTTTGCAATATTCGGGTGCTGTCTGTTGATACCCTGGTTCAGGAGGCCATTCAAGCTTTTCTTAAAAATGAAATGAAAAGTGAACATAATGTGATTCCACAAGAAGTGGAGAGTTCTGGGAAACAAAATGAGGTAAGCATTTTTGTTAATTTTGGTTTTGGCTCCCACAGGGAGATGAGAATAAAATATATAAGGAAGAAAGCATGTTTCAATTTTTTACTCAATTTCAAACTTAATTCTAAGTTTTGACTGACAAGATTTCGAAAGTCAGCTTGAATTGACACACTTGTTTTTCCTGTAATATGTAGTTTCATTTCTAATCCATTTCCTTTCATAATTGATACAAGGTCCAGAAGAACTTATCAAAATCACCAGTGAAAGTTCTAAAGAAACTCCGAACAGAAACATCTATCAATGAAACCAAAGGTGTGTATGTATTTTCTTTATATATGTGTATATGTATATTTATAAAATTTAAGTTTTATTCTTATCCTTTTAGATTTAAATGGCAAATCCCCTTTCTTTTGTACATTTGAGATAATATCCATGACATCTGAATTTTCACAGTAGTTTCCATTATGAATTTCCTGTTTCCACACATTCCTAGCATCTGGGAGCAGCAAATGCAGGCTGCTCCATGAGGGAATGTGAGCTAGGTGACAAGGGCAGTAGCAAAGCCGGAAGTGCCAACATTCACCAACAAAGAGTGAGGGTGTCGGCTGAAGTCAGGGTCACTATCAGGTTCGGAGAAATTGATCAGTGTGAGCCTCAGTCTGGTGGTAACCCAGCAATTCTGTCAATGAAGAAAGTCTGATGTCAAGCTGGGAACTCAAGTCAGCAGATGTGCATCAGGGTCAGAACCAAGTGCACAAGATACAGGGTACAAACATGGCTCCTGCTCAGCTGTAATGTACTGCAGGCAGGGTCCAGGATGACAGTTTTAGCTTAAAAGCAGCTTCCAAAGGAAGGACAGGCAAGCCCTCACCTTCCCTCACTTCACCTTTCTTTACAACAGATCTGATCAACAAATAAACTAACACTAGGCTCAGTCACCTAAACTCAAGATCTCAGAATGATTGAGAGTGGAAGAGACCTCTGGGAATCATCTAGTCTAATCCTCCTCCGCAAAGCAGGGTCACTACTGCACGTTTTTCAGGACTATGTTCAGTTGAATGCTGAACATCTCCAAGGATGGAGACTCCAAAACTTCACTACGTGACATGTTCCAATGTTCCATAACCTTTACACTTAATATTTTTATGTTTAAATGGAGCTTCCTGTGTCACAGTTTGTGTCTGTTGCCTTTTATCATTTTGCTTGGCACCACTAGGAACTGTCTGTTCTCTTTATTCCCCTCCCTAGCCCAGATATTTCTACACATTGATCATATTCCCCTCAGACCTTCTCTTCTCCAGGCTCAACAGTCTCAGCTCTCAGCCTGTCATCATATTTCAGATACTCCCAGATCTCAGTAATCATCGGGGCCTTTCTATGGGCCTGGTCCAGTATATCCATGTCTTTCTTGCAGTGGGGAGTCCCAT